GTTCTGAACACAAAGGTTTTGCACAAATGCTGGAATTATGTGATGCATCTTTGAAAGTGAAGTTTGTGGGTCCCCCCCCCCCATTCATTTCAAAGCATGTGTCTCATTTAACTATGACAGTGGCGGAGTTGCCCACATTTACTGCTCAGCAAACATTTGTCAAGGGTATGAGGAGGAAACACCAGCTTAACAAGGTGCAGGCAGCAGAATTTCTGGCCTGGCATCCATCACCAGGCACACAGTGGGCAATTCCTCAGTCCCGAGGTCTCAGGTGAGAGTGCGGGTTATGTGGTGTCTACTTTTAAAAGAGCTCCCGAGAGCTCCAATAACCTAATTTACATGTGTCACCATGGCTGACTTTATCCAGTTCAGACCTGTGAGGTCACACTGTTCCCAGAATCCTGCCTGGAATGTGTGCAGAGGAAGAGACCAGGGCTTGACCGAATGGCAACTGGTTGCCAGGATACCAGGATACTCGCCGAAGGGAAGGCCCTGTCAGAAGCCACCAGTCACTGTCTCTGGCTGGGTCCTTACACAGGCACCTCTCACCGCCTCCCTCTCTGAGTCTCACAGCATCTCTGTGAAGTAGGCTTCACGGTGATCCATTTAACAGGTGGAGGAAAAGGCTCAGAGATTTTGCCGGGACGTGTATTTTCAGTGTATTTTCAGCAAAATGCCCAGGCAGGTCATCATAGCACCCTACTGCCCACAAGATGAAGGAGAAGTGGGGAGCAGGGGAGCCCTGGAACACAGACACAAACTGAAACCGAAGCCAGGGCAGCAGGCACAGAAGCCGTGACTCCACGCTGAGAATGGCAGGGTGTGCTCACAGTGGGGCATCGCTGCTGCCACCACACACAGAAAACTGGAGCCCTCGGAGGCTGAATGTACAGCATGTGCCCGCTAGAGCAGAGCGGGGGGCGCAGAACTAGGGCACAGAGAGTGGCGTCCGTGAGAGACAGCACTCACAGCAGAAAGGTCCTACGATAACCTTGCAAACCAGAGTACTACGCCAAGCTAAAAGATCCACCCAGAAAGCAGTCCTGCGTGAGTGGTACTCGGGCATGGCAGGCAGCAGTCGCCAGAAATCATGCTGGAGGGTTCACCAACCACGTGAGATCCCCAGCGAGACTTCTAGAACATGCGGGAATGGCGGACTATAGGCTGGGGTTAACAACAATAGCATACAAGAGGATAACTACTCACAAGAACGTAATCCAAGAGAGACTATACCATAAATAAACTTTTACATGGCTACAGAGATAGCTGATGTATAAAACCATAAGGATGGAACAAGATACTACCGGGGGGGGGGGGGGGGGCGGCAGGTTTTTAAAACTTCCAACGAGACTATCTACAGTCTTAAAATATAGTCATTTAAGTTAATGACCCAGGGGACCAGTTAAATAGCAGACCAGACACAAATGAAGGGCAGATAAGGGAAGTCGGATGGAAGTCTGAGGAACTCTGTCAGGATGGGGCACAAAGAAAAAAGGAAGAAATGCAGAGGCTGAGAGGCGTGAAATAGGAGCCGGCCCCTTTAAACTTTTATTAGTATCCCAAAGAAAGGGCCAGAGAGAAATGAAGAAAGGAGCATTCTCGGTTTATAGGAGAATTTTCCAGAACATATGCAAGATCCAATCCTAAGTAAAATGCCTAAGGAATGGCATATGGTCCACCGTAGAGCACGCATGCTGAGTCCTGGGTTTGGAGACAGCCAGGCTACAAAGGAAGTCTCGTACTCCTACAGCCGATGTAGACGGATTCATGAGTCTAAAGAAGGAAGCGTCTTTCTTTGTCTGTCATGATGTGTGGCTAAAGAAGCTGAGGCTGGAGACATTAAGACTTGTACAGGGTTCCACCACAGCTGTGGCCATCTGGCAAGAGAGAAATTACCTTAAGTGTTGAGCCTGGCATGGCAGGGCATCGTTTCAGTAGGGTTCCCAAATTCTTATTCTCCATTTTAAAAACTATTCCTGCGAGTCTCTCCAGGATAACTCAGAGAACATTCCATGTATCAGAAAGAACCGAGTTCAAATCCCCCCTCAACTTCTTTACGAACTACCTCTACGGCCGTCAACTTTACCACGCCTAAGATATGGCTCCGTCTCCCTGAACAGTGGCTCCCTCACGGGATGGGTTGGCATTAAGTTCATTAGTCCTTATAAAGTGTTTAGCACAATGCAGGGCCTGACGTCCCTGTCATTTGTCCTCTTCACCAACCGAACACGGTTGTCGGTGAGAAGCACCCTCACTCCCAGGTCACTTTCCTCAGAGCTGGAGAGTAGGCATCCCTCCCCGGTGCCGCTTGGCAGGGTGTTTACAGAAAGGTAAAAGACTGGCTTCCAGGGACTAGTTTGGCGGTAAACAGGAGCAGGCAAGAGCTAATAAAATTTCAAATTAGCCATGACTTTTCACGGCCCTTCAATTGTGCCGGCTGATTTAATGGTCACCGTCCCTCCTCGCTGGGATTGAATAATGGAGCGTCTCTGCAGAGTTATGGATGCGGCCGCCGGAGCTGTCACGGTCACATCAATAGCAGAATGCAAATAACCCTCGGCTTGGGCTGTAATTATGTGTTTAAGCAATGTCTGTCGGGGGCAGCCCAAAAGGGTGCGATGAAACCGCCCCCCCCATGGCAGGAGAGGGTGGCTGCTTTGCTGGGCGGTGGGACCCGGAAGCCAGAAGACAAGCTAAGGTTACCACCCACAATAATACCGGGGTGAGGTACAGGGTGGTTCTGCCAGGTAGATAGTCCCTCATTTCAGTAAACCATGTTCTAGGTTCAGGATCTACCTTTATTAAGCACCTACTGTGTAGCCAGTACTGGGCTGAATTTGGGGATGGAGCGCTACATGGGTCACTGTTGAAAGGAAACTTAATGACCCTCTTATTATCTGTGTAAGAACATGGGAAGCTGGCTAAGCAAATGCCTCAGTGTGTGAAGGGGCTTATCACCAACCCTAACCCGGGCTTGATCCTTAGGACTGAAAGAGTGGAAGGAAAGACTCCCAAGGTTGTTTCCTTAGCTCTACATGCACACTATGGCCCATGCTTTTACACACACACACACACACACACACACACACACACACCTGGAGAAACTGTAGTAATTTTAAAAAGTGAAAAAAATATAGGAATCTGAGACCAGATAATTTAAGTGACTTACCCAAGGGCACACAGAGGGAAGAGTCACAGCTGACAGCTGATCATCTGATCCCAGGAGTCACAGTTGACAGCTGCCCCTGACCGCTAGCTCTGGAATTCAGACTCTGTTCCTGTGCTCCCCCCCAGGAGGCCACGGGCACTTGGGTACTGTACAGAAAATGGGGGGAGTGGAAAAAGCAACAGCAAATGGAATGTTGCCAGGGATGGTTGCCCCTAGTTTACTTAAGGGGGTGTAAGAAACTGGGATTGAGGTCAACCAAGAGGCGTGGCCATTTAACTAAAGTTCCCCAAGCACTGTTCATTCAGCTGTTGAACACACCATAGAAGGTAGACCCAGAGTGACTCAGCCAGCGAGAACGAGAGAAGCAGAGGAGTGCCAGGGTGGATGCCGTGCCCTACAGGTACAGATTCCATACTATAAATCCTAGGGAAATGGAAGTGAGGTGGTGTGCCAGCCTTTCTCCAGTACTGTTGGTGAGAACACGGTATTCTGAGAGATCGGACTCTGCCAGTTGTCTGGGGTCAGTCTTACAGGCAGTGCTGGGACATCAACTTCAGGCTCTGTGGCTCAAAATCCTACCATCCTAGCAACCGCTGAATACGGTTGATTGAAGAGATCTGGCTTTTACAGACTAGCATCTCGTGTTATTTGCTGCGTCATTTGTTGACTGTTTATTTGGTTTGTTGTTGTTGTTCATTTAATAGCCATTTCAAAGCGCATCCGCTGAGTGCTAAGGGTACAGCAGAAATAACCAAAACACCCCTGGGACCAGGATGGTTGGAAAGTTTTCCAGTGTCACACAGCTCAGAAGCTGTCAAGCCAGGATCTAAACCCGGACAGTACACAGGCCGCCTCTGCTTGTAACATCCAAGAAGTGACTCTGGGGTTTTCTTAGCCCGTCTTCTGATCTCTGGAGCAGTTACCCATCATAAATTATTAGTTGGTAACTGTAAAAGTTCCTTACAATAATAAATCCCGAACTGTGTAGCCTAGGCCAATCTCTTTCTTTGCATTTTTGGAAAGTGAGGTGAGCCGTAATAGTTTAGGGGTCCTGAAGCTACCCATCCATGTGGTCAAGACAACTCCCTGCAAGTCACAACTCACAGAAGGCAGATCCGGGCCTCTGCAGGGCTGAGGGCTGTGCCCCAGGCCACTGATCCCACAGCTGAGGAGGCTGCTACAGTTATAGGGCCTGACCATCATTTCTTCTTCCTCACATCAGAGCCAGGGAGTCACCAGGTTTTAGATTTTACCCTGTAGGTCCCTCAGAAACGACGGTGTCCGTTGGTGTACGGCTCTCACCTAAGCTGCTCCATTTCTCGTGTGTGCAACCTCAGCACTCCCGCCCTTCCATCTGTGAGTTTTAGCCGTGCGCCTCGGATGAAGTCACCTTCTGTTTCAAGTCTTTGGGGGTACCTATGGCATGAGGGCAAATTTCCAGCTCACTAACATGGACTAAACAGTCCGACACAGCTGCCCCCAAACCATACCGCAGCCTCATCCCTGCGATTTCCCCCCTCAACACCGGCATTTTGGCTTAGCATGTCTAATGACCCTGCATTCTCTCCCCTCTGAGCTTTCCCCAAAACCCTCGCTGCTATCTCCTTCGAAGAGAACAAACAGTGTACACAGCATATGCTTACCTAGCTGATTCACCTATAAGACAGAAAGTCTGGGGCCAGAGGTATCTGAAGCACCTGGATCTTCTTGTGCTCCAAAAATCCCTGGCTTCTGTCTGCGTCTGAAGTTTGCCAGTGAGGGAAAGATAGGCAAACATGACTGATTGAACATAGCTATATAATGTTTGGTACATGCTCTGTCGTCCCTGCAGATGGCTTGGTGGACTGCATGGATCCTGACTGCTGCCTCCAGCCCCTCTGTCACGTCAACCCGCTGTGCCTGGGCTCCCCCGATCCTCTGGACATCATCCAAGAGACCCAGGCCCCCGTACCCCAACAGAACCTGCACTCGTTCTACGACCGCGTCAAGTTCCTCGTGGCCAGGGACAGCACACACGTCATCCCCGGGGAGAACCCCTTTGACGGAGGGTAAGTCCGTGGGGCTCAGCCCCAGCAGCAGCTCTTGCGGGGAGACTGATGTCTGGCGTGAGGAGGCTGAGAGGGTGGGCGGGCCGAAGGCTCGAATGTGTTTGCAAAAGAGGCAAAGGCACAGCCTCCAGCACTCCCGCCGACAACACTGCTGTCCAAGGGCTTCCAAACTATGCTTCTCCCACTGGGTGTCAGATGGGGTGAGTTAAAATCAAAGGTCTGAGGGGAATCTTGGATCAACACCCACTTTGCAGTCAGCTCTTTCTGATCCTGTGGTCTCCACATGAGCTGAAGGGCTTTGACACTGTTTGCCCTCAGAGCTGATGGAAGTCTTTACTAACCTGGAGGCAGAGGCCATTGCTGCATCCAAGGCCACGTGTCCATGCAGTCTTCCCCAGGCCACGTGTCCATGCAGTCGTCCCCAGGTCACATGTCCACGCAGTCTTCCCCCAGGCCACATGTCCACACAGTCTTCCCCAGGCCACGTGTCCACGCAGTCTTCCCCAGGCCACGTGTCCACGCAGTCTTTCTCCCCCCCCCCCAGGCCACGTGTCCACGCAATCTTCCTTTGATAGTTGTGTCACCCATGGAACATTTTCTCACTGAGACCCTGTCTATCTCAGGACCAGTGCTAGGATGACAACAATGGATAAGATGTACTGTCTGCCTATTGGTTACTTACTGTCGACTGAGCTATAAAATGAATATAGTTATGATATACTTGGCCAAAAATGTGTAGCAGGGATTCTAAGGGACACAGCGGAGGTGTGCTTGGGATGAGTAGGGGGAAACAAGACTTTTTCTTTTGGCTTTTCTAGACAGGGTTTCTCTATGTAGCCCTGGCTGTCCTAGAACGCACCCCATAGACTAGACTGGCCTCGAACTCACAGAGATCCACCTGCTTCTGCCTTCTGCATCCTGAGATTAAAGGTGCACACCACCACTGCCTGATGAGAAACAAGTCTTAAAGATGAGAGGCAGTTAGCCAGGCTGGTGAAAGAGGGGAAGTTCAGAGGAGGAGGAAGAGTTCGCACAAAAGCATGAGGTATGGCAGGATCCGGGAGCCAGCAAAAGATGACATTAAGCCAGCACAGTATCCAGAAGGAAAGATAATAATTTCTCTGGAATGTCTTCTAATACAGCATGCTTTGTGCATGCTGAACTGTGAGTCAACATGGTGACTCCAGCAGTCACTGAGAATGACCTCTGTGCCAAAGGGTCCCTACCCTTAGGGATAAGACGTGATGAGAGCGTGGGAATGAGGAACCAAGGGGCTTAGCTAGAGACAGCTGTGAGGCCAAAGGGTCTGTGGGTGCGGGGTGGACAGTGGTGACGTCACCAGGATGAGGATCTAAAAGCAAGACCAGGGCATAGGAGGAAGGTGGTGGCCTCACCTTGAGCAGAGGAAGGGTAAAGAAAAGATACAATATGGTCACACAGCCAGGAGAAAGTGCTGGTCGGCAGTCTTGTCACACAGCCAGGAGGAAGTGTTGGTTGGCAGTCTGAAGTCATTCTGGGGGTTACATGATGGTTGGAGTTCAAAGCTCTTGATTTGGGAAGACTCTTCAGCAGGTAAAAGGTGGGCCGGTGAGCACCCAGTGCTCGCTCCAGGAGGGTGGAGACCAAAAGACTCCAGAGCCCTGAGAGACTCTTCCCACTGTGCCCCATGAGCAAGTCCTGGCAGAGGGCACAAGGACATGGGAAAGCAAAAGGAGAGAAAGAAGGAAGTACTCTGTGCCCAGAGAGGGAGTCATGACACACAGCAGCATTTCCAAGGGTCACCTCCTTAGAGGTGTGGGTGTCAGTGCCGAGGAGATGGCTTGCTCACTAAAGCGCTTGCCGCAGAAGCTTGAAGGCCTCTGTTTTGACTCTCAGAACCTACCCAAAAAGAAAGAGTCACGCAGCTGGAACTCAAGTGCCATGGAAACAGAGATGGACAGGTACCCAGAGCTGGCTGGTCAGCCATTCTCGGTGAAATTTTAAACTCCCAACCTCACCCTCAGCGCCAAGTGCACACACACACACTACTCAGGCAGATATACTAGAGGGCACATTCTTAAACATACCCCAAAGCAGGTACAGTGGCTTTTCCATGTGCACATGTCCAGTCGTATGCTAGAGTGAGGAACAGCAAGAGTGTGAGGAGGGGGGGATGACATTTCTTGGCCAGAGCTGCTGCTTTTGTTCCTAGGCAGGGAGCTGCTGCTATCTTATTCAATTGTGCGATTTTGTTTGTAGGCTTGTGGGCCTTCCCCCGGCGTGAGTTCTTTTAATCAACTGCAGATATAAATAATATTCCTAGTAAGGAAAATGGTGCTTGTTCAGCCTTTCATGACCGGCCCATATGGCATCCGATTAGAGCTACGGTTTGTCAGTTGCCTGTGGCTGTTCTGTTAGGACGTACCCTATTCAGGCCAGGCTGCTCCGTGCCAGCAGGAACATGTCCCCAGGGTGTCCTCCCTGGGACACACTGGGCCTGCTGCTTAAGTACTGTGAGACGCTGTGGGACCTGCCCTGGGTTCTCAGCATGGCTTGCATGGTCTTGAGAAGCCTGTGCTAGGGGAAGAGCCAAAGCTAAGGCCCTCTTCAGCTCCTGGCCTTGCCACCCCTGTGTGCATGCTTCGATGAGGGGCTCGATAAAATGCAAGAGTCATGCCAGCAGCTGCCACCCCTCAAATCTGTTCTCCAGGCCAATCCTGCATCTTACTCATTAGAACTCAGTAGTTGCTCCAGGAATGTGTGTGCACATAAATTGCCTTGAAGAACGAAAAATGCAGAGGGAAAAGGAAGAGGAGAGGGGGACAGATAGACACATTCCATATTTTACTTGGTTTTAGATGGAGGATTCGGGGTCCGGCAGGGTTCAGTCATCTGCCAGACAGCGCACTGGAGGTGAGGAGCAGAAGCTAGAGAAGGCAGCTCCCACGTCCTTGCTTACACATCTGTTGCCTTCAGTTAAATTACAGACACTTGGAAGGCAGAGACTATTCATCCATGCGAACCCATGACATGTCAAGAAGGGCCTGGAAGGCAGTATTTGTTTTACAAGTGAGTCGATAATAGGAGGTTCCAAAATGTTAGTATGGAACCCCTATCCTGGCCTTCACCTGATCCAGTAGGCCCCTGCTCCTGGCTGTTCTAGATTCAGAAAAAAATAGCCATCCATCCACCATGGGTCCCCAAACATTCCTCTGTCAAATAAGCCTGGGTCAGAAACACTAAGTACCAGGTATCAGGTGCCTACTCCATGGTTTCAAATGGGCCTAGAGGCAAAAACCCTCCCTTGTGCAATTGGGATGAAGTAGAGTCAGATTCCCGGCTCAGACTATTGCTTTCTTTCCTCTCATCTGAGAGGGTAGTGTTAGGGTAATGGGAAAGGCTCAATGTTGCCTTCCTGGCTTTACCACAAGCCATGCATGCATGAAATATAGTAAATATTTCACAGCAGCCTTTAAAAAAGATTAAAATAAAGGATCCATTTAGGGAGTGCCGTGTTCATGCCAGCCCGCTCCATGCCAGCAGGAGCATCCCCCCTGAGTGCCTCCTGGTTATGGACTAAGCCAGGCACCTAATAGATGAGTAGATGGTGGCTTTTATAGTGGGAGCATATCAAAAACTAGGACAGACTTTGCAATCAGACAGACCTGGACTGAAGGGCAGTTGTGTGGGGTGGGGGTGGGGATCATGCTGTCAAAGGTCAGTGCCCTCATCTGAGATACCTGGGGAGTGACGTGTGTGTCAGAGGGCAGCTTGGAGAATTAAATGAAAAGAAGTACACAAAGCTCAACCTGGGGCGCCCGCCACGCAGAAACGCCTCGGATAATTACCTCATGGTGCCCGAGGATGGAGGCGACGGCGTTGGGAGCTGCCAGCGCCACTTCCTTAATGGGAAGCAAAGCTTGGGTAACAACTGCTCCCCAAAAATGTCCAGCCCCCGCCCCATGGGGAGAGATGGGTTTAGATGGCTGGGTCACTATTGGAGGGTAAGAAAAGGCTGTAGTGAGGAATCCAGTGCACTTCTCCAGGGCCTGCTTCGTGCCCACGTGTAACAGTAATAAAGCCTGTGCCCAACCCACATCCGGGCATCCTATATGCTGTACCACGAGTTGCATGGTGTGACTAGGATTCCACCCCACAGCTCCCAAGGTGCAGACTGTCACCCACAGCCTCTCTGAGTCTAGTAGAGACAGCAGGCCTCAGAAGGGTAACTCCTTCGCTCTGCAGAATCACGGCCATATGCCAGGGAGATTCAGATGGAGGGTTCCAGGCTACTGCTTGGAACCGGCTGGACCCTTGAGATATGGAAATAAGCAAGTCACTCTTGTAGTACAGGCCTCTCCTCAGCATCCACCCCATGTCTGGGATGAAGAAGCAAGAGAGTCCTCAAAGAGATACATAAGATAGGCGGAGAATTCCTGTGCCAGAAGGCGTGGAGTAGGGAGGGGCGACCACAGCTCCTCAGGGAGGCAGACTGGACTCCATGGAAGAAACCGCAGTGGTTGTTCAGAGCAGAGGTGGAAGAACTTCAGAGAAGGGAGAACAGAGAAGGCCTTCCTCCGTCTCCTGTTAAAGTTAGTCAGCTTTGTATCAACAGACACCAGCGAGAATGTCTTAAAGGGGATGGTAGAAGGATGTCTGACTGTCCAAACAGAGAAGAAAGAACACAGGACATAGACAGTGCAGCTTGGAGTCAGACAGGCAAGGAAGGGTCGACAGCCTGGGCATCTCCTGGAAACCCTCAAGGGAGAGCAGTTTCCTCTGCTGGTCATGCAGATGTCTGAGCAGCACCAAGAAGGTTGAGAAACTGGATATAGGGCAGATATCACCTCCATGAGCAGTTACTGGTTACAAGAGGATGCGCTGACAGAATAACCACCCAACGCTGTTTGAATACAGGCTGAGAATACATTCAAGAACCCTGTCTAGGTCTGAGAAATGGTATGACTTTGACAAGCCTTGGCGGTTGTCGGCTCACTCACTCAGCAGATAGGTGGATGTGG